GTTGTTGTGAAGAAAGCCAATGATGAGTGTGTGCCCTCGGCATACACTTTAAAAGTTGTAGATTTTGGCCCTTGCTGAAGCCTTCGGTGTTTGTGTGACCGGAGGTGACCAGGCAGTGGACTTAGCCGTTTCTTGATGATATTTGTTTGAGTAGTATCCTTCGGGAAATAGGAGCCTTCAATTACCGGAGGTGTTCCCGTGGGGAGCCCTCGGCTTGTTGTGATCTGTTGGAGTGTACTCTTTGATTTCTCGCTGAGTCTACTCCCCTTCACCCCCTCTTTTTTTTTTTGGTTGGTGGTGAAGGGAAGGCATCAAGAAACTTGGTTTCTTGGTAAGGCTGGGCCTATTAGGAGACCATCAGAATACACCAATGGCCCTCCTCCCTCGGGTTAACCTTCCAAGTTCCGAGGGGATCGAGGGTCGTTTCCTGGGCACAAGATATGGTGGTCCGTAACCTGCCTCCCCTTGGGGGATGGCGCGGAAAGCGCCTCATTTTTGAAAGTCGTCCCCTCGGCGCCAGACATAGTCTGTGGCCTGCCACACCCTTGGGGTGGTGGCGCGGGGAGCGTTTCGGTTTGGAAGTCGAATCCTGGGCATTTCTCATGCCTGTCATACCCTGGGGGTAGTGACGCGGATAGCGTTCCGTTTTTGAAAGTCGAATCCTGGGCATTTCTCATGCCTGTCATACCCTGGGGGTAGTGACGCGGAAAGCGTTTCAAGGAAGGGTTTTCATTTGCACACTAGTTGCAAATGGCCGGGGGCACTACGTGCCGCCGGCATCGATGGTGGCTCCTTCGGTATATGCGTCCTCGTGGGGTACGGCTTTTAGAAACAACACTTGGTGTTAGTTTCGATGTGTAGCCCCCGGTACTTGGTACCGAGGGGTCTTCTGTAGGAACACTTGGTGTTCTCTTTTGTTGTAGTTGATGTAGGCGTCTACCCTCGGTACTTGGTACCGAAGGGTCTTCAAATGAAACACTTGGTGTTTCCCAGCAGATGTTTGGAAGTTGATAGGAGAGCATATCCCTGGCACTGGGTGCCGAGGGGTCTTCTTTGAAACATTTGGTGTTTTTTCTTCGTTTCGATGTTTGATGATGGAGGTGTACCCTCGGCACTGGGTGCCGAAAGGAAATGAAACACATGGCGTTCCTCGTTGTTGGTGATAGGAGTTCCCTCCCTCGGTACTTGGTGCCGAAGGGTCTCATCCCTCTTTTGGCGTATAGTTAGGAGGTGGGAGAAGTGCTTCCTCGTGCGATGCCTCCCGGCAAATTGTGTCAAGAATCGATGGGCGAGTTCTTGCCACGAATCAATGCAGCCCTCGGGCAACCTGTTGAACCATTCGTACGCCGGCCCCTCTAAGGTGGAGAGGAACCAACGACACAAATATTCGTCTGACGCCCCTACCATCATCATGTTGTTCTGGTATTTGCTGTAGTGTTCCTGGGGGTCCGTTTTCCCGTTGTAGGGCTGTATGTGTTGCCCTCGGTATTTCTCCGGGATCCGAGCCGCCAATACCCTTGGGGTAAATGGCGTCCAAGTCCGGAGCTGGATGACGGGTTCCCCGGAGCCCTCGGCCACCTTCTTCTGTAATTCCTCCATTTTGGCCATCATGGCCTCGTATTTCAGGTCTGAATGAGGGGTGGAGGTGGTGGCGTGAGCTTTGTTGGACTCCATTTCGTCAAGCCGGCGTTGGAGGGCCGCAATAATCTCGTCCCGGGGATCCTTCGGGAGGGTCTCCGCCCCCTGCGAACGAACCCGGGCCGAGTGGGCCTGATTGATTTGGTGTCGAGCATCATCGGCATGAAGGGGTGCCTTGCCTTTGTCCCGAGGGGGACGCTCCTCGTCTGCCCTCGAAACAGATCACCCGCTTTCCTGGGGCCTTTGGAGTGCTTTCCCCCCGAGGCGGTCTTGGACCCCTCGGCGGTCTGGCCCTCCTCCGAGCCGGTTGAGGGCGGGAGTGTGGGACCTCTCCCTGTTGTCATTGTGGCGGTCCCGGGATTGTACTTCCTGGGAGGACGTATCCTGGGCCACTACCCCTTCGTCGTTCCTTACCCGAGGGGTGGGATTTCCGAAGGGGTGTGGCGGAGGGGGAAGTATGATGTTTTCCCCAACCTGGGGGTGAACCGGAGCCAGGGTGCCGAAGGCACCCGGGTTCTGAGTGAGCGTTTGGATGAAGGCGGAGAGCGCCGATTGCACGTCGATGGTGAGAACCGGAGGGCTGACTTGGTCATCGCTCCGGTTTTTCTTCTTGGCCTCGATGCCGAGGCGGGCATCGGGGGCATTTTGTTGGATCTGAAGGCGTAGGTCGACAGCCGCCTGTTCCAGCCCAGCGATGACACCGCCCTCGGGAGCCCTGTGAGAGGCCTCGGGGGTGTTGACGTCGCCGAGGGCCAGGTTCTTGTCTTCCACGTTCTTTGAGTTGGCACGTGTTGTCCTCACCATTTTGATAGAGGGCTAGTGTTTTGTGTTTGGTCGAGGGGGAGGGTTTCTTACTTGATTGTTCGACCTCTCAACGAGAGCACCAAATGATGGATGGTCTACCCGGGGGTATATATCTGAAGGGTTATTACGGGGAATAACTTAGAGAGAAGTCAGAGCGAGTAAGTAAATGTAGAGAGAGAGTGTATTCAGTATGAATGCCGTTTTCAGCGTGGTTACAAATGGGGAAATGGGGTGCTATTTATAGTAGCAATAAATGCCGGACAGGGACACGTGTCAAGCGCTCATTGGCCGAGGGGTCACCTCAACTGGTTGGCGCTGGCAGCCGCATGTGGCCGCATTTAATGCGGCTGTTGGATGGGACGCATGTACAGGGTACGGTGATCTGTACGCACGTGAGGCGGATATCTTGTCGATTGAGATGCCTTCGGCTATAGAGCAGTAGCTGAGGGCTCCTCCAACCGATGGCACCCTGGTGCCGAGGGCTCACAGTGCCGAGGGCTACTGTTTTCGCCGTTTTCTCCCAGTTTCTTAGTTTGCTTGAGAAACCTGTTCTGTGAGAGTTTAGAGCCTTCGGCCAGGGGGCCGAAGGCACCCGTGGCGTGTAGTGCGGGCTGCTTGGTACTCTGGGCGCTGTGATTTGGGCCTGTTGGGCCTTCTGGGCCTGTTGGGCCTTCGCTGGAGTAGTAGGAGTCTGTGGGCCGGGGGTTCCCGGGCCATATACTCCATCACCAAGCTAATTTCTACTTTCCCTGACGGCCAAACTAGTCACATCACACCGTATTGTGATGACGAAATTATTTCCTTTCATAAAAATGAAGGGATGACACCCCATCCCTGAGGGTCCCAACCCCGATTGAACGGTACGTTGGGAGAATGTAAATTGGACTATAATCCCAATCTGACAGATAGAGAGTGGGACTCTGTACCCTGTACTTGCAGAAGCCCTATGCAGTTTTAGCATAGGGCCTAACCCTTGTGACACTCTCTTGCTATCAGTTGAGCTAATGCCTTTCATAAAGATGGAGTAATTGGGTTTGCGCTGGGGGCAGGTAGTGGCCTGGGTTCTAGATTCTGGCTTGTCCATTCCAAGCATTAAGTGGAGCACCACTTAGCATTTGTGTTTTACTTTTAATTCCATTCTCACCGTCCCAAATTGATTTGTATTCGTATTTATATTCTCATTTATTACAAATGAGCTTGAAATCTGTATACAAAAGTGTATATATGAGCTACACTTTGAGAGTATTGCTATCTTTTAAAAGTTATTATAGTGTATATTATTAATATTGACATTATTATTATCATTATTATTAATCGAATATATTTGATTAATATTCAATTCAAATACACTGATATTCTTATTTGTATTTGATGACAACTTGAATCAAATTTAATATTCTTATTTGTATTTGTATTTGAATTTTCTGAATTCGAATCGTCTTATACGAATTCGAATTGCGAATCGAGCACAAATTATTTGATCCGTTCAAATTATTTGAATTTGAACTCCTAAGGCTGACCGCAATGGAACAGGTGAATACCTCAAATGTAAGATTTTCACCCCACAATGGCTGCAACCCAACAAAAAATATGTATTCCAAAGTCTCAAAGTCAATTAAGGGAACCCAAGGTCTCAAAGTCAATTAAGTCAACCGGTGGGCGTAGCTCAACTGGTAGCAAGGGAGTGCCACAAGGGTTAGGTCCCGGGTTCGAATCTCGGCAACTGCGATGAGGGGTTACTATGCTAAAAATGCATAGGGCCTCTGCAAGTACCGAGGACAGAGCCTCACTCTCTATCTGTCAGATTGGGATTATAGTCCAATTTACATTCTCCCAACGTACCGTCCGATCGGGATTGGGAGACCCTTAAGGATAGGGTGTCATCCTTTTTTTAGGGAACCCATGGGAGGGATAAGTGTCATAAAATTCCTGATTGACTTTGAGACTGACGCATAGGAAAAGGTGATGCGTAAATGGAAGAATTTCCGGGGGCACAACTTAAATAAAAATTCCATTTATCTTTAAAATGTCATAATTTTTTATGAGAAATTCAATTCTTATAAAAAATATATCAAAATTCATAATTTTTTATTCTCTTTCATGCGACATCAATATTGCATATGTAAAATTTAAAAAGAAAAATTTAAATTTCAATTGCTGGAGATTCTCAAACCCAAACTTTTTCTTAAATTAATCTAAGTGCTAAAATTAAAATCTCATAGTTCAAATACCATTTTACATCTAATAGTTTTAAATTTATTTCAAATTGAACTCAAATGGACATTTTTTATACTTACAAAAAAATTAATTCACATTTTTTATTTTATTTTTTACATCGGAATAATTGACTTTTTAAATAATAATTATTGGTAAAAATAAAATTATCACATAGATGATGTGTAATAAAAAAGTAAGGATTTATACATTTACTTTAAAAAAAATGTGCTGAGTGGATATATTGACGGTGCTGGGTTGTAGAGAAAAACTGAATTGACCGGGTGAATACGTATAAAGTGGTGTGAGATTAGATTTATTGACGAGCTGGGTTGCGGGTAGCCCAAGTGAATGTATTGGTTTTCTGAGAGTGCAAGACAGTCTCACAAACTTGTACATTCTCTGTCCGAAGGGAGACTGCCTGTCTGAGTGCCCGAGGCGGCGAATCAGTTATACTTTCATACTCCGTTTCATATTGTCGCAGCGCCGGCGACTTTAGCGAATCAGCGATATCATTTGGTTTATGAGGTTTGAATATTTAATTATTATTTATTGCGAAATTCTGTTTAGATTAATGCTATGAGCGACAAAGGAACACACGTATTTGGAGAAGAAGTGAGGGAATATGAATAACTTGGTGAAGGATAGAAAGGGACGTAGGAGAAGGAAATGAAGTTAGCGAAGAAGGAGAATTTGGGGATGTAGAAAGAGTGAAAGAAGTGGGTGATGAGACGAATTTATGGCGGATAATGAAGTAAGAGAAGGAGAAGAGTTCGTCTACGAAAATGAATTTGGAAAAGATGAAGAAAGTTTTTCTCTGGAAAATGTCACATAAACGATGTCATCTGGATAGGCTTAGCGCATTACCTGATGCTTTGCTTATTTGTATTCTCTCTTTTCTTAGTACTAAGGGATGCGATCATACCAGCACTAATGCACCGGATCCCATCAGTACTAAGAAAGTAGCAAGGACTAGTATTTTGTCAAAAAGATGGCAACATCTCTGGACTAACTTGCTTGAGCTGGAGTTTAAGGAAAAAAGTTGTGAATGTGAGAAAATACTCAAGACTGTGAATAGGGTTCATCATACCATTGGCATTCACAGAGAAAATTATCTGGAAAGATTATACGTTGATTTCCATTACTATGAATCTTTTGCCTCAGATGTCGATAGTTGGGTTGGGTATGTGGTAATAAACAAAGTTAAAAATGTCACTTTGCAGCTAAATCCAAAAGGAGTTTTGTATATGCTCCCTCAGAGTATGTATTACAGTTCATTTTTTACAAGTTTGAGTTTGCGAGGATGGGATTTGGTTCCTGAAAGAACTGTTGATTGGAAATATTTGACTAGGTTACACCTCAACGATGTTAAGTTTGATGAGCATGTCATTGAAAAGATATTATCTGGTTGTCCAATGATGTATAGTTTGATTCTTTGCCAATGTTAGGGACTCAGTTGTTTGAAGATCGATTCTCCATGTGTTCGTGAGCTTTTGCTTATAGACCGTGATGATGGATACAGTGAACCTCTTCTGGAAATCTCTGTACCACATTTAAAGTCTTTGATGTGTATGTCACTATGTCCTACAAACAAGTGGCGGCTAACAAACATCTCCTCAGTTGTTCAAGCGGGTATTGCTTTCATTGGATCTGATTGGGATGCTGATTCTGATGAGGTGATGAGTAATTCGGAGGAGCTATTGGAAGACCTTCTGTATGTCAAGGACCTTTTGTTCTCACATATGTGCATTGAGGTGTGTATTGATGCTCTTAGCCTTGTCTTACATTTTGTCTTTTGGAAAAATATGCTTCACCCCCTGCACCCCAAAAGAAAGAGTCTTATTTGGTGAAAATGCATCTGATGGAGTATATGGCCCGGGAACACCTGGCCCACAGACTCCTACACCAATGAAGGCCCAACCGGCCCAGGAAGCTCAAGCAGGCCCAAATCACAGCGCCCAGAGTACCAAGCAGCACGCAATACGCATCAGGGGTGCCTTCGGCCCCCTGGCCGAAGGCTCCAAACTATCACAGCGTGGATATTTCGAACAAACGGAGGAACTGGGAGAAAACGGCGAAAACAGGAGCCCTCGGCACCTGGAGCCCTCGGCACTCAGGGGTCCTCGGCACTAAGATCCCTCGGCTAGTCCTCTGTGGCCGGGGGCACCTCTCCCGACATGATCTCCGCATCACATGCGTACAGATCACCGTACCCTGTACGGACATCCCATCCAACAGCCGCATTAAATGCGGCCACATGCGGCTGCCAGCGCCAACGACATTCATACTGAATATACTCTCTCTCTTACTTACTTGTGCTCTGACTTCTCTCTAAGTTATTCTCTGCAATAACCCCTCGGATATATACCCCCGAGTAGACTATCCATCAGCATCTTTAAAATTTTGGAAAGGTGCAAATTTTTAAAGTAATGCAATCACACGAGAAATCAATTCCTTATGGTAAAATAAGACTTTGTTTGTTGGAATGACAGGCACTTCTAAAATGAGTCTCTTTTATGGAATAGAGGGAGTTGACGTTGTAGACCACTGACCACCTTTTTTGTATCTGGGATATGCAATAATTGGGATATGCAATATGTTCTATAAGGTTAGTAACATTGTTTTTTTTGTATATTTTTTAAAGTGTGTTATATCAGCCAGCATTTGAAAGAGACGTGTGCATGAAACTGCAAAGTGTTCTTTTTTCAAGACAAACATGGGTATAGAACACTTTTGTACCTGATGGACCATGTAAGTAATGCACATGTGATTCAATAGAGGTGTGTGTGTGTGGCTGCGTGCGCACGTGTGTTGTCTAGGGATGATGTCAATCCAAAATAAGGAGAAAAATATAAAAGAAGGGGCACAATAATATTGCTTGAGTCATCTCATGGTGATAGCTTAACAATGAATTTAAATAGCAAAAATAATTTGATGTTTTGTACAGAAGGATATTTCATAGTTAAGAAAAATTATAACGTGCACTTTGAACAAGTGGTGGTCGCAAGGGTATTCCTAATGTGTGAGAAGTAGATGAATATTTAGAGCCATATTGCTTGGGCATTTGCACTTATTAGAACTTAGTGTATTTTAATCATACATGTGTGTCGGCGACATGTACAATTAGGTGTTATCAATGTTAGTGGAGATGGAAGACTTGCAGCTTCCGCAGTCTAGGCGAGAGATTTTGAAAATACAGGCCTGAGTTGATGCACACATAATTCCAGGCATTGTAGCCTTGCTTGAATCTTCTCCAAAGCTTCAGGAATTGACCATAACCGGCATTGATCTGGAGGGGGTATGTATGCTCTTGTGGTTGGCACAAATGTGAGTGGCAATATTTTTATTTGAGAGTTTAGGAAAACTCAAAGATAAACATAATCTTTCCCAATAGCAAGTAGTAAGAATAGTACTCTTAAAGCTGTTAGCACTTCGTAGTGTTTGGAGTTCTTTTTTGGCTAAAAGTAATTTATACACATAGTGATCTAAAGTTATTTAGTTTGTTATTTCTCAAGAATATTGGTTTACAAGGGAAGAATATAAACTACTCCGTATTAGAGTATTGGCCAGCTCATTCAGAATGAAACAAATTAATATTACTTTCCGATAATAATTGGGAGCTTATAAAACATAAACAAATATAAAAATAGAAAATAGCTAGTGTTAGTGTTTATCTATCCTTAATAAAGGAATTTTTACATCAATAAAAATATCAAATGCCTCAAACATTTTAACCAACCAAGGAAACTGATCCCTTTCTGATGATGCATATGTTCATATTGAAGACTGATTTTGGACTCTAGGAAATGCCAATGAGTTTCAAAATGATAGAAATACAGCCAACAGTACTCACACCTTATTAATCTGCAGGCTTTGACTAGAAAAATTATAAAACAGTCCGTTAAAAGAATTTTGAAGTTTTAAACAAATATTTTAATTATTCAAAGACTAACCAGATGTTTTTACACCTCAGTTCTCCTGAACTCCTGAAGTATAAAAGGTGCATTCAGATGAGTTTAGAACTGTAATCAAACAACAAGTTATAATTCATCTATAAAATCCCCAATCATAAAACGCACTCGATTAATCTATAGTTTGTGCAAGTAGTTTCTTAAGTAGATGGTGCAATTCCAAATTGAATTTCAAAAAAAAATCAATAAAATAAAAGTAGAACAAGCTTTCAAACATCGTTCAAAAGTGATGTCTATCACTCTATTGAAGGATTGTCTTGGAGAATAGACATATTTAAAACACAGTGGAGTCTATTAGCCAAAGTCGGTCGATCGGCAGCGGTTAGAAGTACTATGTTACAGGTAAAAAAAAGGCAACAACTTATATATCCTAAAAACAGTTCCTATTCGGTGATGTCTTTCAGGTATCTTGTAGATCATAGGTGTACCATAGATTTGGTTCCATATTGAGCGTGGATTTGACAACGTGGATATAGTTTTGTACCACTTTTTTTCACTTTTATGGGAAGAGAAAACTTTTCGCGACAATGTTTTAGCTCTAAAACTGTGGTGGTGGTGGGAGGATATATGGAGCAGAATACATACTCAGTAAAGAACATGAAAATATGTTTCACTTTTATATTTCCTAGTTTTCTATAACATATGGAATACTTTTTATTTTGATAGTATGAATCATTTTGAATTTCTATAAAAGAAACCTACAATTCATACTAAAGCTAAATCACATATCCTAAGTAAATCTACCAAACATGCTTTGAAATTTTAGAAATTTGGAAACATAACTTCAAAAAATATTACGGAGCATCTTAAATAGAATGGATACAATGCAAAACAGGAAATGTTACCAAACAAAGCAGCTAGAGGGTAAACTTAAAAAATAGCTCAGTAGAAAAGAGAGAGAAGCTAATCAGCATTGCTGGAATAGATTCCACTTTTTCCATGGTTGGAAATTTTATTTAGCACTCATTGAAATCATAGTTTTTTTGCATGCAAAATATTTTCCCACCTCTTATGCATGTCACCTTGAATCTGTTATACAAGAAAACGTGTATTTGTTAATGCTTGAGTCAACCTTAGCTTTAATTTTGTTGTCTTTGTAGCTACCCATCACTTGGGATGTACTTGAAAGGAGTGAATTGCATGACGACCTAGTGCACTTGAAGACGGTTAATATTAAGGACTTTGTAGCAGTTCTGAATCTCACTGGTGAACCACTGCTAACATTGGTCCAGATTCTTCATGACAAGACTACAGTGTTAGAAAAGCTAGAGATTCATATTGAATACCCTGCACCTTTACGAAAAGATTTTCCTCAAAGTTTTATCAAGAGAGCTCAAAAGCTGCTTAATTACCCTAGATCCTCTCGTAAAGCTGTTGTCCTCCTTAGTTGATGAACATGAGTTGTACTTTTGCAGTTTTGCTGGTGTTGCCCTCGAGAAGCTTTTGATGTTACAATCTTATCTAATCTCATCTTATTATTGTGTTGGCCATTGTTTTGAGTTTTTTTCGAATTAATGTTAATTAATTAATTAATTGCGAAAATAATGCTGGGTTAAAAGTATTTACCGATATACTGATGGGATTAACCATGGTCGGGGTAAGTCGCCAAACGGTTGGGCGACTTATAAGTCACCATCCGGTTTGGCGACTTATAAGTCGCCCAACCGTTTGGCGACTTACCCCTTACTATAAACAAGGTCTCATTTCTCCTATTTAGGGGTTACGAACCAGATACAACACATTACAATAACCCAATATTCATAACACAGTAGTCATCTAATATTCATAATCGAACACATCAACACATCATAAAAGAGTTTACAGGTGGAACTACGTAAAATAAAGTCAATTCTTCCTACAACATCTAGTGTACAAGAAAAACTCCAATACAAAAGACAAACTACAAGTTCTCATGGTCTTCTTGATCGTCTTGGTCATGGAGATGTTGTTGTTGCTGCCTACGCCTACGCCGCTTGCGTGGTTGAAGAACCACTCTCTCATGCTGAGTCTGGGATGATGAAGCCGCCGCTGCACTAGATGTCGATGGCATATCCTGAGATGGTGGCATATGTATAAGATGACCGTAGTCGACTCGCCCCAACACATCTGAACACAACGAGGCGATGCCCGTCAAAGCCTGACCGTACATGGATTTTTTGCAGCATCTCGACCAAACATGCACCACGAGAAACAATGACTAAGCTGCTTCTACCACCTTCATGGCGTATTTGGCCACCTTCCTCAAATATGTTCCCTCCCTAATGACACACAATTGGGAAGTTTGAGAAATCCATATTCTAATAACAATACATGTCCAACTTTAATGAGTACACATTAATATACACAATTCATATATGATATATATACACTTAAAAATGGAAAAATATAACATTTAAAATATATAATACATTCTAATTTTTGAGTTTTTTAGCATCAATACAACAACAACAACATCCAAGCCTTAGTCCCAAAAGATATTGGGGTCGGCTAACATGAATCGAAACATGATATCACAACCAAAAGGAAAAGAAAGAAAATAAAGATAAAAAAGATAAGCTAATATAAAAAAGATAATATAAAAAGAGATGAATATATATAAAAATGATAAAATAAAAAGGCTACAAATAATGCTTATATATATAAGGATAAAAAACAAGGGGCAAAAAGATGAGGGAAAAAGATGATACGAGATCACTCCTTCACGCGAATACCCGCCCTCCACTTAGTTCTCTCCAAAGTCATACCCTCATCCAACCCCGGAAGAAGCATATCACTTCGAACTCCCCTAACCCATGTTTGTTTGGGTCTTCCTCTCCCTCTCTTCCCTGCCTGTTCTCCACACATCTCAACTCGTCTGATAGGTGCATCACCCGGTCTTCTACGCACATGACCAAACCACTTTAGGCGCGACTTCCGCATCTTGTCTTCAATAGGTGCTACTCCCACCCTTTGTCTGACTGTCTCATTCCTCACGCGGTCCTTCCTAGTATGCCCACACATCCAACGCAGCATGCACATCTCTGCCACACTCATCTTTTGAATGTGACATTGTTTCACTGCCCAACACTCTACGCCATACAGTAATGCAGGCCTAATTGTTGTCCTATAAAATTTACCCTTCAATCTAGTCGGCATACCTCGATCGCATAGAGATCCTTATGAGCGTCTCTATACTTCTCCATAAGTTGCTGAAGAAGGTGAATGGACTCAGTTGTTGAGCGACCAGGCATAAAACTGAATTGATTCTCTGAAATCTTCACAGTTCTTCGAAGTCTTTGCTCAATCACTCGCTCCCAAAGTTTCATGGTATGACTCATAAGCTTAATCCCTCGATAGTTGGCACATTCTTGTACATCACCTTTATTCTTAAATAAGGGGATAAGAGTACTCTTCCTCCAACTCGTTGGCATCTTATTGTTTCTCCAAATCATGTTGAAGAAACTTGTTAACCACTCGACGCCTCTCTCTCCCAGACTTCTCCAAGCCTCGATCGGTATGCCATCTGGACCCATTGCTTTCTTCCGTCCCAACTTCCTCAGAGCTTCTTTAACTTTCGTTGTTTGGATCCTTCTCACAAAATCACGATTTACCATACACTCTGGTATGGACAAATCACCGATATCTTGCGTTTTGTTCCCGTTGAATAGACAAATCACTTATCAAAGTATGACCTCCACCTCTCTTTTATCTCCCCGTCGTCCATTAATATCCTCTGATCGACATCCTTCACACACTTAACTTTTGCAATATCTAACTCACCGTCCTTCTAAATTACGGAGCCCAAGTAACGGAACATATCGCTGACTGGTATCACCTTACCATCCAGAGTAATTCCGCTATTACCACTGCTTCTACCTCCACCAAACTTGCACTCCATGTACTTTGTCTTGCTCCGACTTAGTTTGAAACCCTTATTCTCTGATGTTTGTCGCCATACTTCCAACTTTGCTTTAACACTTGATTGTGTCTCATCAATTAATACAATATCATCGGCAAACATCATGCACCACGGTATATCGTCTTGAATTGACTTCGTAAGTTCATCCATGATTATGGCAAATAAGAAAGGGCTCAAGACCGATCCTTGGTGCGCTCCGATAGTAATAGGGAACTCTTCGGTCCTTCCAACACTAGTACGGACACTTGTAGTACAATCCTCATACATATCCATGATGATGCTGATATACTTGCGTGATATGCCTTCCCTAGTTAAGGCCCACCAAAGAACTTCTCGAGGTACCCTATCATATGCCTTTTCTAAGTCAATGAACACCAAATGCAGATCCTTATGAGCGTCTCTATACTTCTCCATAAGTTGTCGAAGAAGGTTAATGGCCTCAGTTGTTGAGCGACCAGGCATAAAACCGAATTGATTCTCTGAAATCTTCACAGTTCTTCGAAGTCTTTGCTCAATCACTCGCTCCCAAAGTTTCATGGTGTGACTCATAAGCTTAATCCCTCGATAGTTGGCACATTCTTGTACATCACCTTTATTCTTAAATAAGGGGATAAGAGTACTTCCTCCAACTCGTTGGCATCTTGTTGTTTCTCCAAATCATGTTGAAGAAACTTGTTAACCACTCGACGCCTCTCTCTCCCATACTTCTCCAAGCCTCGTGATGGATAGTGTACCCGGGGGGTAGCTTATCCGAGGGGTTATTACGGGGAATAACTAGAGAGAAGTCAGAGCAAGTAAGTAGAGAGAGAGTATATTAGAAAGTGTATTCAGCGTATTTGCTTCTTGGTTACAAATGGGGGAATGGGGTGCTATTTATAGCAGCAATAAATGCCAGATGGGGACACATGTCAAGCATCCATTGGCCGAGGGGTCACCTCAACTGGTTGGCGCTGGCAATCGCATGTGGCCGCATTTAATGCGGCTGTTGGATGTGAAGTCGTACTTGGTACGGTGATCTACGCGCATGTGGAGCGAATATTATGTCAGAAAGGTGCCCTCGGCTGTAGATGATTAGCCGAGGGCTCTGAGTACCGGGGACCCCCTTAGTGCTGAGGGCTACTGATTTTCTCCATTTTCTCCCAGTAACCTTGTCTTCCTGATTTGACCCTCTTGTGAGATTCAGAGCCTTCGACCAGGGGGGCGAAGGCACCCCTGGTGCGCATTGTGGGCCGCTTGTTACTCTGGGCACCGTGATTTGGGCCTATTGTGCTTCCTGGGCCTATTGGGCCTTTATTTGAGTAGTAGAAGTCAGTGGGCCGGGGGTTCCCAGGCCATATACTCCATCAGGAGTCTCTCACTCCTTTTGCTGAAAGGTACTTGAGGGAAAAGGAGTAATTGTGTTTGCGCTCTACCATTGTTCCGTTGTAGTTTGTAGAGTTGTGGGTAGTTTGCTGTTTGTTTATTCTGCCGAGGGCAGTCCCTCAGTTACCCACATGTCGGGACTTGAGGGGTCATGTTTTGTGGGATTTGAGCCTTCGGTTTAGATATAGCCGGAGGCAATCTGTTGTGAATGGCATCTTTGGTACTTATGAGCTTCCAGGTATCGAAGGCGTTCCCATGGGGAGCCCTCGGTGTGTCCTCTTGAATTTGTTGGAATGGTGTACTCATTGATTTCTCGCTGAGTCTACTCCCCTTCACCACCCTTTTTTTTGTAGTGAAGGGAAGGCTTCAAGAAACTTGGTTTCTTGGTAAGGCTTGGCCTATCGGGAGGTAACAGAATACACCATTAGCTCCCCCCTCGGGTTAACCTTCCGAGTTCCGAGGGGATCGAGGGTCGTTTCCTGGGTACAAGATGTGGTGGTCTGTAGCCTGCCTCCCCTTAGGGGATGGCACGGAAAGCGCCTCAGTTTTGAAAGTCGTCCCCTCGGCGCTAGACATAGTCCGTGGCCTCCCACACCCTAAGGGTAGTGGCGCGGGGAGCGTTTCGATTTGGAAGTCGAATCCTGGGCATTTTAGATGCCTGCCAATCCCTTGGGGAAATGGCGTGGAAAGCGTTCCGTTTTTGAAAGTCGAATCCTAGGCATATTTCGTGTCTGTCATACCCTTGGGGTAATGACGCGGAAAGCGTTTCAGGGAAGGGTTTTCATTTGCACACTGGTTGCAAATGGCCGGGGGCACTACGTGCTGCCGGCACCGAGAGGTGGCGCCTTCGGTATAGGCGTCCTCGAGGGGTACGGCTTTAGAAACAACACTTGGTGTTTGTTTCGGTGTACGGCCCCCGGTACTTGGTATCGAGGGGTCTTCTGTGGAAACACTTGGTGTTTTTTCTTTATTTGTCGTAGGTGATTGTGTTGTCTACCCTCGGTACTTGGTACAGAGGGGTCTTCTGTGAAAACACTTGGTGTTTCTTCCCATTTGTTGAAAGTTGTCAGTGGTGTGTCCCCCCGGCACTGGGTGCCGAGGGGTCTCCATTTGAGGACAGTTGGTACTCTCTTGCTGTTGTAGGTGATAGTATTGTCTACCCTCGGCACTTGGTGCCGAGGGTTCTTCCTTGTGATAAGGCCTTGGGCCAGGGGGTGATATGAG